CCTACCATATAAAGTTCACTATACTGTATGTGCATTGCCTTTCAGGTGTGGTGGTGCGAGAATCTGTTATATCTTCCATGAGACATTTGGACGTACATTAGATTCTATAAATGCACTGGGTGGACTTACAGATTTAGATATCTTAACAGCAATAAGAAATGCTACAGTGAGTGTTCAACTGCATTTCTGTATTCCGTTCAGTTAGGCAAGTCAGATATTGCTATATTATACATATCTCTTTCCTCGTTTTCACACAATATTTTGCTTCACAGGGCCCAAGACCAGCATTGTTTATCCCTGAAGTGTCATTTGAACTGTTGGTGAAAAGACAGATCAGAAGACTTGAAGAACCCAGTCTGCGGTGTGTGGAATTAGTACATGAGGAGATGCAGAGGATTGTACAACACTGTGGGACGCAAGAGTTACTTAGATTTCCTAAATTGCATGATAAGATTGTGGAAGTGGTGACCTCACTACTCAGAAAGCGTTTAGCGCCAACTAACGCCATGGTAAGAAACTAATTCAATACCATATTATGTCTGCTTACTATTAGTAAAAAGTGATGTTTTCAACTTCTTGTTGAAAAACACAAGTCCGATTGCTTTGATATGATATACATATAGGTATTACAGGTGGACCTATCTCAGATTTGTTCATTTCATGATGATATCTTCAATTCTCTAACTCTGATGAATATTTTTGCTGTTTTTGGTAAAAAGATACATTTTCGACTTCTTGTTAAGAACCACATGTCTGATTGCTTTGATATTATACATATAGGTACCTCAGATAGACCTCTTTCAGATTTATTCATTTTCTAATGATATCTCAGCTGACAGACTGCTTGTTTTCTGTTCCTTTCGCAAAAACAATCCTAGCCATTAGGTAATCTGATCACACAAATGCAACTATCTTGTAATGCACATGTTTTTGTTTCATAGGTGGAGAATTTAGTTGGAATAGAATTAGCGTATATTAACACAAAGCACCCTGACTTTGCGGATGCCAGTCTAATATCCGCACTAATACAGAACAACGAAATGGATAGGAAAATCAAAAACAAAACCCAGAATAATGGTGTAGACATCAAAGAGGTGGTATCCAAAGGAAGGGTAAGAATAGTTGCCAAATTATTTAATTCATCTTGTCTCTGCATGTCATAAACGTAATTGTGCATGTTTCAATGTTGTGTTTGTGCTCACACATTGTTCATACATGTCAAATATTCTGATAAATGTCTCTGCATGCATGACT